AATTAAGTTGTAAAAAGAGTGACTAATTCCACCAGTGCTGGCTGGCAATCCTTCAGCAATCATGGGATCTCCCCTTTCGGATGAGTTTATGTGTCTTTCTGTTGCCTGGGAAGCCCCGGGCTCCACACATGCAACTCACAGGACTTCCTCAACTTCCTCTTCCTTGTGGCTGGGGCACTCCTTGAAAAAAATAACTGCTTATTTATAGAATCAAATAGAAAGGTGTGAACAATAGCACAAGTCACCAATACACGCAGACTTAAAAAAATTTTTTTGAATAGCTAGGTCAAGTATCCAATTTATAAGAAAAAGTTATAAATGGCGATAGAGTAAAAAGTCAATCCCTCTTCTACCCTTTATTCCTAATCATCCAAGTCCCCTCCCCAGGACAACCACCTTTACCAGTTTCTTGTGTGCTTCTCCAGACATTATATGCATATGTAAGCAAATGTAGAGATAGTCTTTCTCATCATTTAATGGTAGCGTACTACATACACTATACTATATACACACTGTTTTTTACAATAAACAATGGATCTTGAAGTTTATTCCATACACAGAAAGCCACAACACTGGTCTTTAACAGGTAAATGACATTCTAATGTATGGGAATACTACAGTTCATAATAGCCTCCAATTAATGGACATTTAAGTTGATTGCTTTTGCAAATAATGAAGCAATTAATATTCTTGTGATGTAGCCTTTTATTATAGATGTACCCTAAACCTGAAAATCCCATAATTCTGTTTTCAACTACCTCAACTTTGTGTATGTGTAATTCCATAGACCAGTTTCCTTTGAACATGATAGGTGCTTGCAGAGGCACTGACATGTTTTTGGCACACTTGCAGTTCCACATTGAAAAAAAAATGTTAAAGCTTCTAGGAAGGGTGAACTGTAATGACAGGTAAAGTCCTTGTCAAGAGGGCAAAGTACCACGATAGGAACATTTTTTATTTTCTATTAAGTGTTTATTGTTCTCAAAATTCCTACATTGGCCAAATGTGTTGAAATTAGGGTAGTCACAGTTTCTGGTGTGGGTAGAAAACCAATAACACAAGCATATTGAAAACCTTGCTGTTCTGGCTCTCTGGTGTCCTCCCACAAATGCTGAGAAAAGAGCCCTGCTTCTGGTGAGGAATCTTGTGGTAACTCATCAGCAGTAAGAAGCGCTGGGATTGGTCAGCAGCACGAATCTTGTGTCCTCTGGTTTCCTTTCCCTAAGACTCAGCACTAAAAAGTGACTCTAACCAGTCATGAAAGCACATGAGAAGAATGTGTTTTATCCTTCTGTGTCTGTCTCATATAGACCATGTGCTTAGGAAATGACTGTTTAGGGTAATGATATTAAGGAAGCTTTACATTTCATACATTGTTGGAATTAACTGGAACTTTTCTGAAGACAAAAACCGTGAATGAAAACTTCAGGAGTCACCTGGCTATGTGTGTCAAGCTTTTCAGCTCCAGGAAATCAAGTACAACCCAAACTCCTTCGGATGAAGGTGCATCCAGGAACTACTGACATTGTTTCAACTAAGGTAAGTGGGCAGAAAGGTAAAGGTAGGAGACATGAGAGTAGAAGAAATATTTCTCTTGCATGTTTTGAACCTGAGGGTGACCTATGGGCCATCCACTTTGGAAGTTCTTGGAAGTCTTCATAAGATGGCTAGGCAATTGGGAGTTCCGGGCTGAGGTAGCCAGGTAGGATGCGATGGGCATCAGAAACTCTATCTTTTAAGGTTCAGATGTGAATCTTGGTGTGTGGTCGCCTACCTGGGAGCTGTATTTTAGAAAGAAGTGCTGCCCTTGCAACCATTCTTCCTCCCACCCCGCCCCCAACCTGTGCTTTCCAAAGCATTTGCTGTAATTAGTGAAACTGTCCTAGGGCTTTGCCTATTATGGAGCTACAGCCATTGCTCAAATTATTTAATTATGTGCAATCCAAAGTCACAATTCAAGGTCCAAACTTCACTTAATAACCAAAATACAAATTAGCTATCCAGAACTGGTAACAGTAAATTTGCCATATTTGCCTAATGCCTATTTTGAAGTCCATACCAGACACTCAAAATTTTATCCTCAATTTCACCATTTGCAAAATGAAAAATGGGGTCAGATTAAATGACTTCTAAATTCTCTTTCATCAATGTTACATTCTTTGAACCCATGAAATTTCTTTCCTAGGTATTCTCTTTTCCTTTTGAGTGACAGTAACTCAGAGTGATGAAAATAGGAATTCTTTGATGCTCATTTATATCACAGCCATAGAAGCATTTTATTTTTGTTAGAAATTTTCTTTCAATTATAGTTTACTTAAGATGAACAACTATGTTTGGTTATTATTATAACAGTGACCATTCAAATTTTTTATACTTAGACCCTCTCAGTAGTGGATAAAAGCCTCATCTACGCAACTATTGTCCTTTTCTGGATAATATTATAAAGCATTTCCACATGCATATGCCACTATTACCACAAGTATATACCTAAAACCAAATTAACTCTAAACATTTGCCTAAAAAAGTAGTTCCTCTACCCTTAAACTTCCTCTTTTTTCCAGTTAGTAACAGTACAGGTTTCACACTCACCCCCACTAAGTCGTTTTGGAATCTTCCTTTTCTTAGTCCATCTCCACCAAGGGCATCCACTCATTCACAAAGTCCAGGTGCTCTTTAAGTTACAATGTCTTGCTAGCCTCTCCTTTCCTTTCTTCCCTCATTATCCACTTCATTATTTCACGTCCATTCTCCCACATTGCCTTCCAAATTGATTCCCTGCTTAAGTCCTTCTCCTTTCCAAACTATATAACAGTCACAATATTTATTTTCCTAAAATAGTATAGGATGTTCTCCATGTCACCTTCTATTCAAAACCCTTCACAGATTGCCATTGTATAGAGGCTACATTAAACTCAAACTGCCACTCTTTCTCTTTTCCTTCTTCCCTCTCTCTCGGTTTGCATGATTCTGTATAATTTGGTATTACTTTTCCTTTCCAACCTTTTAAATGTTTCCCAAATTTCCCTAGCACTCTATTTTTGTTCATGCTGTTCCACTGACACATCCTTCCTTATCCTCTCTGCTTATCAAAATACTATTAGTCATCATTGTCCAGCTTAAATTTCCCCTTTTTGAAACCCAGAATCATCTTCTATATAAGGCTTTTCAACCACTCCAATTTAAGAGTCCTCTGTTCTCCGAACCTTCGCTGCATTTATTACCCATCACACATATTTAACATTCATAAAGTCTCTTGTCTTCTGAGTTTGCTTTTACTTTTCATATGCTTTTATCTCCCCCAACTACATAGTAAGGTAATTAAAGATAGTTACTGTATTTTATTCATACAACGGATCCCGATTCTAGAGTGAGACTATGTTTTAATCCCTCCACTGCCATTTACTGATTGTAATCTGTTCTCAGCTTTCTCATCTGTGAAATGAAAATAGTGGTAGTTATTCCTTTATGGGGTGTTGTAAGCATTATATGAGAGAACACAAACGAAATGCTTAGAATAGTGCCTGGAACATGGTAAGCATTCACTAAATGTTAACAATTATAATAATTATTCCTGTCTCTTACCTCCAAAGTGCCTTATACAGTGCCTTGGTCTATAAGAATGCTTAATCAATATTGAATGGAATTCAGTTGAGTCAATTAAAGGAAATAAGGTAGACTGTGTGGGTTGTATATTGTGGAGCAGGAGAACTTCCTGGCATTGCTAAAATCATGCCGCAGCCAGCCTCTTTCTAAGTCTCTGCCACTCCTTATAATACTCTGCTCAAGAGACTTCTGAAGATTTGGCTTAGTCAACAGGAGATGCTTTTCTGAGCAACCCTCTCTTCCTGCCAATTGAAACTGACCTGGCTGCAGAGAGCAGGTTGCCAGATTTCCTATAGGTCTTAAAGGTGGTAACTAAAAATGTGGACCAAATAGCCCTTATGTGCCCAAAAAGAAGCCTACCAGTCTGCTATTTCACTTAATAGGTCCCAAGACTAGCCTGTTGAAGTGGAAAGCAGGCTCAGTAAGATGCTTGTCTTCCACCACCTTGGAGTGTCAGGGTGTCCGTGGGCACCAGCCAGCAAGCTGCTCTCAGCTCAGCATCAATAGCTAAAGAGCAACGGATTCTGGCCAAAAAAGGTGGAGACATCACTATTGTTCAACTAAGCTATAAAGGCAGGTTTTTAAAAAATTGAGAACATTACATTAGAAACGATATAGTTTGAGACCCAGTAAACATCATGGATATCACTACCAATAACTAGCCTAGGCAAATTCAACAGATCCGGGCTTAAATCAGATTTGTCCTATTGAAATCAATTCAGAAAAACAAGAAATAATTTTTTTAAAGGTGAAAGTTGTGATCAAAGGCATGAACTCTGGGCCAAATATGTGCTTTGGATGTAGACAGACCTGGAGACTTAATATTCAAGCTGTGAAATTTCAGGAAATTTTTCTAACCTCAATTTTCTGAGGGATAAAGAGGATTATAACACTTAGCTCATATGGCTCTAGTGACACTTTAAGGTGATGAATTTTCAAAAGGCTACCTAGTTTGCCGCACAGGGTAGGGGCGCAAAACCACATAAATTACCTCCTGTCTTACTCCAAAAGCAGCTGCTAGGGGTGAGGCACCTGGTAACAATTCTACAGGCAGGTAATTAAGATGATTTGAACATTTCTGAAATGTTGACCTAAAGTGTGCTGGGTGTTGGGCAATGCACAAACGTAGAGAGGCTCTGTGCGTTCCGTGCTTTTCACACTTGCCACTCGGGAGCCCAACACCAGAAAGCCATGTGGATTTATCCTGGGTTTAACCTCGATTTTGATACCTTGCCATTTCCAACAACGCCAGTTTCCTTGCTGAAAGAAGTCCTTCCCCTCGGTAAAATCCCAATAGTTTCATTTGTGTCGTTTTCCCTTATTGGTCTTGCTCATTCTGGGTGTGGGTTTTTCTCATTACGGAATATTGATAATAAGCAAACCACCACGGGAAACTTGCTCTACTGCAGCAGCCTCTCGAGTTCTTTGCCCGCCCAGGGAATGGTCCGTGTTATTGCTGGGTGGAGAGGCTGCCGAGCGAGAGGCGCCGTCCGGGGCGAGGCTGCGGGAGCGGGGAGGGGAGGCCGGGATCCTTGGGCTGCGCGGGGAAGGGGATGGGAGCGAGGCGAGGAGGCGCGGGCACGTCGACAGCCCCAGCAGCTGGGTCGGGCCCGGCAGGTTCCCGCAGCTCCCCTCACCCGCCTCCACGCCTCCCGGGTTTTCCCCTTGGTCGGGGTTTCCTGTTTCAGTTCTCGGTGATCTCCAGCAGCAGGTGCTGGTTTGCTGGCCCCGGCTCCAGAGGAGGCACAGGAGGCGGCGGAAAAGAGGGACGGGCAGGGAGGAGGAAGCGGCGCCGCGGCTGCGGCTGCGGAGGCTGGCGGGGGAGTCGCGGTCACTGTCGCCCGAGGAGCAGCGGCGCGGGCGGAGGGCTGAGGCGAGCGCCGGGGCGGCCGTTAGCCGGGGCCCTGGCGAGTGGCCGGGCTGGCGGGTCGGCGGCATGCGGGAGCCTCCAGCTCGTCCCGCGCCCTAGCGGCGGCCGCCGGCCACAGGCCCCGGCCTCCAGAGTTCGCTGCGATGGCCGCGGAGAGGAGAACGCAGGTACGCTGAGCACAGCAGGCCCGTGCGCGCGCGCGTGTGGCGTGTGCGCTGTGCGCGCCGGGGAGGGGGCGCCGGGCCGCGGCCGGCGGGGCGGGCGCGGCTCCGCGCGGTCGGGCCGAGGTGGCCGCTCGCCCTTCCTCGCGGCGTCGGCCATGCCGGGTGGCGGCCGCAGGTCTGTCCCTCGGGAAGGGGGTAGAAGGGGCTGCCGGCGGCGGGAGCGGCTCTGTAGGGAGCCGGGCGCGGGGAGGGCCGCGGGCAGGAGGACCGCTCCTTGGCGTCGGCCGAGAGGCCGCGCTCGGGGCGCCCGCGCCGGCTGATCTCCAGGCCCGGAGGGCCGGGCTCCCGGGAGTCGGGGCGCGCCCCCGTCGCCATGGTGGGACCGAGCGGACAGCCGGCGCATCCTCCCGCGGACTCCGGGACTCGGGTGAGGCCGCCCTCTCGGGCCCCGGCCCACTCCCGCCCGCCCCGGGGCGCGGCCGCCCGACATGGAAGCGGGCCCCGGCGCTCCAGCTGGAAACGGACCCGCAGCCCTGCCCCCGCGGCCCGGACCGCCGCGCGCCCGTGGGGTGAGGCGTCCTCCCACGGCTCGGGTCCGGTCCCCGCCATAGCTGTTATCATCCACCCTCCATCCAAACCGCCACCCTGCCCAGGCCGGCCCTAACCAAGGCCCCTCGCCCCTGTCCCGCCTGCACCCCTCACCCCTCGGTCTGCCGAATACCCATTTCACCCCGCGTTCATTTTAGCTGGTCTGGTTACCTTTTTAACTCTCTACAAAGAGGTGTTACAAGTATAACTTGGAGAAATTAATCGCTTTTCTCTCCTAAACTGACTCGTCATGCATCCCTTAAAGTCCTTTAAAAAAACAGCCTTAGCTTCTAAGTACTGAGTACTCTAACTGGGTTTCTTGCCATTTGGGTAACCGTTAACAATTTTGGTTTGTGTTTTTTAATAAGTTAAAATACTAATCCAGATTTAGGGAAAGTTTTCCTGTGGGTTTCAAGATTGTGTTGGAGTATACCCAGGCTCCAGAGGCACTTACTTTTTTTTAAAACCATCTCAGAATAGTTGCAGAGATACTTAGGGCTAAGGAAAGTATATTTAGAGATTTGGGGAGCTCATTGGTCTTTCCAACATTTCCTCATTTTAGTTTTTCTAATGCATATTATAATCGGAAAACAGTGGATATACCTAGGCACTTTTTTTTTTTTTACTTTCCGAGAACCCCAAGAAGTCAGGAGTACAGTGTGTTGTAATTTTTTAAAGTCTTAATATATTTAGAATGTAGAGGGTATGATTTCCGTTTATTTAACCACTTAAACATACAATTAATTTTAGTAGCAATTTAATTTTGCTGTTAACTGATGTTTGAATATAAAGATAGCGTCAACAAGTATTTGTAAAATTTTCTTACTGTGAGAACCCCGAGAAGATGCCTGTTTCAGACCTGCCTCTCTGTTCACTTGTTTCCTTCCAGTGTGGCATTCTTGTGTTAAGTCACGTAAATATGTCTACTTGAAGGTACCCTAACAATGTCAGAATGGTCTAGTAACTGTGTACCTGTAATTCAAACTGTTTAGTTGAGTATTTTTACTTAGTTTTTAAGAATGGGTATTATTTTCAAAGTTATAATTCTACCTATGGCATCTGGTCATCACAAAGTACTTAACCACTATAGCAAAGTAACATGAAATTTTAAAACAACAAAATAGAGTATTTTTTAATCTATTTAATAATGAAAGTCTAATGAGACTAGCGTATTATAATGGAAAATATTAAAGGATAGGAAACAGAAACTTGGGAATATTTGGAAACATTCCAAGGAAACTGATGGGAGTTTTTATTAGTCACTTCCTTTTACTACATTTTTGTTTTAATTACCAAACTAATAAAAATACTCTATTTTAAATTACTGGCTACTCTGGAGCTGTGTTTTCATGGATTACATCTGCCAGATTGGGCCCCAAATATGTATTGGGAATTGTATTTTTAAAATTTTCTCATTCAACAATTGGGTTACCTTCATTCTAGCAGACCACTATGGTTTGTACATTCATTTTAATTACTATAACAGATGTAAAAGGGTTGCTATCATGTTATAGCTTTTTAATACCATATTTATACTTCTGTATCATTTTATAGCCTTTGAGGCTTTTCACTGTTTTTGTACATTTAATTCAGAATTCTACTTCATTCTGATTTGATAGCAGTTTTAAAGAAACAAAATATTAAGTAGATTTTTTTATCCTTTTAGTGTTAAAATGTAGAATTATAAACTAATCTGTAGTCATTGCTCGTTTGAGAATGGATACACTTACATTTCCTCAGCAAATAATTATTTAGTATGAATGTAGGTGCTGTTTAAGGCCCCAGACCTCTAAAAGAAGAAAGATTATGAACAGAACATAATGTTAGGTGAAATATACTTCTGTAAGTGAAGAAGTAAGAAATTTAGGTACTAAACTGGGGAAGGTTGCATGTCAGGCCTTAAGGGTAAGATTCAGTTAGGTAGAGCTGGGTGGGAGTTGTTTCCAAGTGAACACTGTGTCAGGGAAAGCAGGGAGAAGGTGGTCCAGTGGATTGGGAGCGTTCAGAGGATGATAGGAGTAGTGGGTGAGTGAGGTGGCAAAGTTAGTTTCTGGGTATGGTTTTTATTGGAAAGAGAAATGTTAAGGTCAGTGAATAACAAAGAGGTGTTGAATCAGGATTCCAAATTTAAAGCTAAAGTACTGAGATTCTGGGGTTTGATCTCAGATCACCAAATACTCTAAAATTTCTTGCATTTTAAATGCTGATAGACCTTACGGATCTATAACACAGACTTTCATGACTTTACAAAGCAAAAATTTTGAGATTCACCAAAAAATGTTATAATCATTGCTGCTATTTCCCTATTAACAGTTCAGAGAAATGATAAACAATTGAGAATGTGATTTTTAAAAAATCTATTTCATCCCAGAATATCTTTCCAATATTTTGGAGAAAAAAGTCTTAATAGGATTATTGAGCTAATTAAATGAGTTAGTATATGAAAATGCACACTGGTTGGTACATAGTAATTTTTGGATCTGATGGCATAACATTGAGATCTGTGATACGTAGCTACCAATTCTCTCCGTCTTTACTTTGGCTTTTATAGCTGAGATAGTAATTGCTACTATTTATTGTGCAGATATACCAGACGCCATGTTTAGGCATTGCTTTTACTATCCTCATTCTGTAGATGAGGAAACTGATACACGGAGAGTTTAAATAACTTGCCCAAAGTCACACATCTGTAAGTTGCATAAGGGAGCTTGAACCCAGACAGTCTGACTTTAAAACCCATGCCTTTAACCACTGGGCAGTTCTGCCTCCCTCCAATTCTATTTTTAATTTGCTCTCTAAAAAAGGTGTCATTGTATGTATGTTCATATGTTGATACACATTGTTTGGAAACTAAAGAGATGCACGATATTTAGAGTGATGGGCATGGAAGATGAGAGAAGTATATTAGTCTTTTCTCTACAGAGTACCTGGGTGACAGAACAACACAGAAATTCCGTCTGGCTGGATATGTTGAAGTCAATTCAAGGACCATTATCTTTTCAGCAGTTTGCTGAAAAGCATTATCTTTTCAGCAGGTCCGTTAGAAGAAAAATCGAAAGATTCAGTCCGCTGTGGCAGATGTTTAAGCATCAGGGTCATCCACAAAAAGGAGTAATTTTCTGACAGACACCTCAAAGGCATTTTTTTATGAATAGTGGGTTTTTAATTTATTTTTACAACTCTTATCTCTGACTATAGAAATGTAATGTACTTATTGTAGAAAACTTAGAAGTATAGATAAGTATAAAGAATTTTTTAAACACCCATAACCCAGAGATAAGTAAACATGATGGATTTCTCTCTTTAGTTTTTCTGTACATTAACAGAATATTGTTTTACTTTCTTCAAATGAAAATAAAAAATAATCACTCACAAAGCAGAATGCACGTGGTTTTATATCACAACACTGACAGTAATTCTTATGCCCAGTGAGCTAGCCTACAGCAAAGCCCATAACCAAGTGTCTAAACTTTGAAGCATTCTGCCTTTAAGATCATTATCAAATCTCTAAGGGTGGATAGGGCATAAGTCAAAAGTCCTAAGGTCTTCCTGCTTGCCAGCAACAGTTTCCTCTATTCCCCCATACCTTTGTCTGGCTCATAGCTCATTATTCAGACCTCATCTTATATCTCACTTGGTTTACTCTATTGCAGTTTAAGAGTGATAGCAGTAGGTGATACTTTTACTGTGCCAAGCTTTGTTCTAAATGTTCTGTATGTACTAATGCATCTAATATTCACTGCACTCCTATGAAGTATTTGAGTGCTTTTCTTTTTCTGGTAAGGAAACCAAACCACAGAGTGGTGAAATAACTCACTGGAGATCTCACAATGATGACAGAGCAAGGGTTCCAATGTAGTCAAGCTAAGTCCCTGTTTTGACCAAACAGTAAGGTCCCTGTAACATAACACGTTAGTAAGTTTGTCTATTATTCTGACATTTAAACAATATAATGGAATCATCTTAGGAATCTGTGTCTACAAAGATACACCTTTTTCTTGTGTAATTGGAATTCCACTGTTTAGAGCTTTATATCCCACCTTCTCGTCCCCATTTAACATAAGGATTTTGTCCTGACGTTAGAGATATTTCAAACATTTCCTTCCTAAGACCATGTCATTTTACTTAATCATTCTCCTATTTCAATTAGACATTTTTCCCCAACATTTAATATCGTAATGCTTTAGTTGAACATCCCAATAAAAATTAGTTTTCTGCATCTGTGTTCTTAGGATGGATTCCAAGAGAATAAACTTTAAGGTTTCTGAAGGCCAAAAATCTTTCCAGAAAATTTGTATTGATATGTACACACAATGGTCAAAAAATGAGACAACTCATTTCATCACGTTTGAATGCACTGTTCAAAAATTTTTGTCAGTTTCCTAATTGAGTGTTAATATCTAATTTTAATAACG